GGAATCCTAGATAAGCTCTAACCCGTCGCACTAAAGATTATCCCGGGGATACGTGGAGGGATTCCCATATTTAACGCCGCAGCCTAAACCGGGATTCATTAAATTGAAACTGGAGCAAAATGGCGACGGACGACGCGGCGACCGCCCGCGCGCCGCACCCGCGCCGTACCGGCCCGTTTCACGCTCTGACAGTTCTCTAGTGTAGCCTGAATGCAAAATGGACCTAACCTATCTGTGATCATCAGAGAGTTTAGCAAAATGCCATTCTTTCTATTCGGTCTGTTTATAGCTCACTTCAAAGTTTAAAAAAGTAATAAACTGCGAAATTACTTGTCCTAAGATGCATCTACCATTTTGTGACATGTAAACAAGTTAATAGCTTTTTTTATTTTGTTTCAGCGTTCTCTCGGCTAGGTAGGGATAGAACCACTTATCTTTGACGCCTAATATTGCTAGCACTAAAAGTCCGACAAGAAAAAATATTACTTATATCAAATTGATGATATCAATGTTAAGAAACTCGAAATAGTAGTTTCAGCTTCTTCTTAAACATACTTATGCCTTTGTTTTATCTTAAATATAAAGGATCTTTGGACTAAGAGTGAAAGAAACATTTAAATTGCATTTGCCGCTTACTTTTCCGCCAAGTATACAGAAGTGTATGAACGAATAGTGTAGTTTAAAAAACTATTAGTCAGTTAGGAACTTAATGTAACTATGAGTTAGTAACTTAATGCAAACTCATTTTAAAGTGAAACTTTTATTACATCTGCACATTTTTTTTTCGTTCATATTTAGCTGGTCTCGTTTCATTTTTAATAGTTATTCAAAAATCAGACCATATTAACATGATCTGTCGTTCAGCCATGGAAAGCTCGCTGGACACGCGGGCGGGCATTCTGGGCCTGGGTTCGATTCTCAGCTGGAAAGGCTTTTTTTATTTCCACTTTTCATAAGTTAGTGTAACATCAACTAAGTATAAATATTTAAGGAGATGAACACTTTTAAAATTAGGAAATACCTTGTGTTAATATTACAAAAAAAAATCCAATACTCACACCAATTAGCCTAACCCTAAAGTAAGAACTGTAGGCTAGTGCTATGGGATAATAGGATAATAGATAGAATACATATATATATATATATATAAATCAAAAAGTCGAGTCAATGAAATCGGAAGTAAAGTTGGATGTTTCAGAATACCTAAGCTGTTTACTTGTAGCCGAATGATGTAAATAAATTTACTATTTAAACTTGGAATTAAATCTAAAGTAATAATATTACATTAGCATTTAAAATATTGAAATGAAAATTGACATGCATCATTATAATAGAATATTCTAAAATATTTTTAACTTAAATAAATGTAAATACTAGATAAGAAATTATAATTATGCGACTGTAAAAAGTGGTTTAACACGGTTTATTATTAAGTAACATTTGTTAAACATTTGTTCTGTTTTGTATTTTATTTTATTGCGTGCAATAAATGTATTAATGGTCACGAAGAAACTTATTTTTTGTTTTATTATACCCGCATAACAACATTGAAAGTAACAATACTTAAAAAATATCGTAAACAGGATGCTTGCAAATATATACCACGATATACTTAATTTCAACTACACTGAAAAAAAATGAAAGACAAAAGAATTTCAAGAAAAGGTGCTTTAGGAAGCTTATCTATGACAAAAGGTGCATTACAATCACGCAGTTTTTACCTGTTCGTCCTTCAAATCTGCAAGTGTTCGCACTAACTATCAGTAAAACATCATTTGTAAAGAAACAATACAACTTTTTTAACTGTGGTCTTAGTTTTTCTAAATTCCATAAAACATTTGGAAGGATTAAAAATATACCACATGACTTAAATGAGCACTACTTACATTTTTCACAGAATACTTAGTTTGTTCAGAACAATATTGTTTTTTTTTCCTATACAGATACAAGGTAAGCTTAAGTTAAGGTTGTTAGTGAAACTTTTATTTCCGAATAATTAAGAATAATTTAGAAATACAACAATAAAAAAGACATTTTCGACCGGGTTCTATGACCACAGAATCTGAAAACGTACTAAATTAAAATGATGAATATTGCCCTTCCAAACTTTTTAGTTACAAGGACATAAGTATCATGAAGATACGTACCTAGATGTTACCTAAACTCACGAAACAAACCAATCTTTGAGTTTTAGTAAACTATGTCGGTTAAAAGAAAAGTCAATTTTGCAATTTCTTTGCAATTTGAATCGATTGTCATTGACTAAAACTCGCCAACTGGGTTCCATTAATCATTTCCAAAGATATGTTACTAACTTCAATATCATAATAATGTTAGTTGCTTTTTATTATAATGGTGTTGTTATATTTACAAAAGTAGGTACTTCAGACTCGAAAGGTAGTATAAGCGTATGTATGTTCACTTTTTTATAACCTACTTGTGAGAATTGGGGCTAAGCAGAAATCCAGGGAACTATCACTGCGACCTAAAAGATACTTATATAAAATAAAATGTCTCATTCAACCCGTTGGTTTCTAAGAAGTTTCTTTTTTTTTTCAAGAAGCTCACATATCAAAAAATCTAGCTTAGTATGTATGTAGATTTATGTCGATTCGATTTCTTCTGGGGCTTGTTATGTTTAAGTACCGGTTGAGTTAATAGTTAGAGGCCAATGCCAAAACAAGAAACACCAATGTTTTGGTGTTTCTTGTTTTGGTTAAGCTAAATTAAATGTTTTCATCTGTCTAATCCATAATTCAGGTTTCTCACTACCTATATGTTTACGCATAGCAACTGGTATGAATAACTACATAAAATATTCATAAAATCCAACTAACAAACAACACTCTGTACTCTGAATTAGCTAAAATTAATTATATCCGGCTCGTTGACGTGATCATAAACACCTGATGCATAAAGATTTCATACAGTGTCATGTTGACATACCTTTACTAACATAATGGGTATCATTAAATTGATCCTCTTTTACCACTTTTATGAGATATGCGATATGATGAAATGATGCAATTAAGTAGGCTACGTGTTATGATCTCGTAGCGTGATAAAAGTCACTATGAACAGTAGTCATTCATATAATTTACATCTTGACTGTATATAGTTATTTGCGAATAAACCCTACAATAATATAGAAAAGTTGATAAGAAGAAGATTATGATGTGTGATATAGTTTAGTGAGAGAACTACTAACCTTTTGATATTTCCCCCAACATTCACACAAACATTAGCTATCAAAATTGTCAATCATGCATGGAGAATATAAAATTATATTTATAGATAAGTATATAAAATTCGTTTGTTTATATCTATCTTATGCCAAATACCTAGTGATTTTAACGATACCATAATAATATGTATCTCACTAATATTATAAAGGCGAAAGTTTGTGTGTGTGTATGATTGTTACTTCTTCACGTCTAAACGGCTGCAGCGATTTTAATAAAATTTGGTATGAAGTTAGCTGACACCCTGGATTAACACATAGGCTACGTTTTACTGCGGGAAAATATCCCTAATAAACCGCGGGTAACACCGCGGGGCACAGCTAGTCTTCAATAAAACATCGATGTTTTTACATATTTTTTGTATTATGTTTGATAAATAAAAAATATACAGGATTATCAAAGACAGTTATAATAATTTTCTTTCAATAACTCCAAATATATCAATGATAAATTTATTATAGTAAAAAAATCTCAGTAAATACTTACACAAAGGTATGTACATTAATATAGGTACGTACTTATCATCTTAACTATGGATAGGTAAGATGATAAGTATTAACCGATATTATACTATTTCATTGTTTTTAAAAGTAAAATTTCTGCGTACTTCTAGAAGAATATATATTAAGATCCATTATATTTATACGAGAAGGTACTTTCTACGTTCTCTTTGACTTATTACCTACCTATCAAGTACATCCTGTAGGTACTATAATCTTATATTCCATAAAATACATTTCTTAACATCCCTTGGTCAAGCCATTACTGGTTACTTTTCCGGGATATTTTTTTAAGAAAATATGATTATTGTATCTTATTTTTTTTTTCCAAATATTATTAAATTTTTCAATAGATAGAAAAAAGAGATATCATACAAAATTTTCTTCGTTTTTGAATTTTTACCAGTTATCAAATGCTGGCATCCCTAAAGAATACCGTTAAAGTCTTGTTTACGTTATAATTAGAATCGTTATATAATAACAGTTCCTTACAATAGTGTTCAGTCAATTCAATGCATTGCCCAAAACAATGGTGTAGTAAGAATTATCTGTGGCCGGGTGATTGTTGTCGGTTCTTCTGTCATTGAAGCATTGTCGCGGGGCCTTGAACTTCCATCCGACAGCTGAACAAACTCGTCGCTAGTCTATGAAGTATATAGATACATATTCTTTGAACAGAAGACCGATTGACGTAAATACTCGTGTATCTGGATTTAGTTTCTCAAGAGAACTCCTTAAAATTATACTCGGGAAAGTGTTTACTTGTTTTTGCAACATACCTGCCTATATTATATTCGCGGAAAACTTAACCTTAGCAAAGATGATTAAAAAGTACCTAAATGTAAGCGTGTAGATGACTCAATGTCATGACGATTGCATGACGCTAGTAGAAACTTTGAAAAACACTGGAAAATAATTTTCCTACGAAAATGTGAATATAAATTAGAGTTTGCATTTTTAAACTGCAAACTCAATGGTATACGTATGTATGCGAGTAGTGTGTTGTTTACAACATAAACTAAGGCCGAGGAGATGCAAGCACCGTCGGCAAACAAAATTGAGATTTGCATGAGGCGGCGACGAGGCGTACGCTCGACTCGTAGGCCACGCGATTAAAAATGCAGTCCGCGGCGGGTGGGAAGCGCGGGAGGGGCGGAGCCGAGCCTCGCGCTCTCATTGGCCGAGAGGGACGCGGGCGGGCCCGGGGTGCGAGCGCGGAGGGCTACGCCGTCGCCGCCACCCGGCGACGGAGCCTTCTCACAACGCACGTAGCCTCCGCGCCGTACGGTCCCGCGACACGTTACTAGAACGCGATCCGCCGCGAGTCCATGTGAGCGACCGACAGTTCTCTCGTTGTGTACGGCGAACGAAGGATCGGCAAACTGTACGCGCCTCAGGAAGACGACATGTTGACGATGGAGACGGATTTGAAGGGCGGCAGCCTGCACGCTACCGTGCCACCGCACCACGCGCTGCAGCACGGCTACGGCTCGCTGGGCGCGCTCGGTGGCATGATGGCTCTGCCGCAACAACAGCCGCTGGCCCAGCACCAGCCCCTGCACCACCAACAACTGCCGCAGCACCACGCGCAGCCTCCGCAGTCACACCACCAGCCACCGAATAACAACAATAATAACACTAGCAAGAACTCAAATACCGACCGGGTCAAACGCCCAATGAACGCTTTTATGGTGTGGTCGCGCGGGCAGCGCAGGAAGATGGCCTCTGATAATCCGAAGATGCACAACTCTGAAATCTCTAAACGTCTCGGTGCACAGTGGAAAGACCTCTCGGAATCCGAGAAACGGCCGTTCATCGACGAGGCGAAGAGACTTCGAGCCGTTCATATGAAGGAACACCCAGACTACAAATACAGACCCAGGAGGAAGACGAAGACGCTTGCAAAAAAGCAAGAGAAATATCCGTTAGGAGGTGGAGCGTTGTTAGGCGCAGGAGAAGCGCAACGAACATCTGCCCCGACGGCACAGCAACCGCGCGACGTTTATCAAATGACACCGAACGGATACATGCCCAATGGATACATGATGCATGACCCTAGTGCATACCAACAACAAGCATATGGATACCCGCGTTATGACGTGTCACAGATGCAACAAGGAGGATATGGAGGTGGCTACTACGGCGGCGGGCAAGGCTCGCCGTACCTACCACAGCCACCGTCACCATCAGCATACGGCATGGGACCAGGCTCACCCGGGGGCTACGCACTGCCGCCGTCGTGCGCGTCCCACTCTCCCAGTGGCTCGTCGGCCAAGTCGGAGCCCGTGTCACCGGGTCCGCCGGGCATGAAGCGAGAGTTCGGCCACGAGCCGCCGGCGCAGCTGAAACGTGAATTCGCGCCGCACGCACACGCGCACGAGCAGATGGCCATGAAGCGCGAATATGGGCAGCAGGATCTGAGCCACATCATCAACATGTACCACGTGCCCGACGAGCAGCGGTACGCGGCCGCCGGCGAGCGGGTCATGCCGCTCATCTGAGAGTCGCCTTTCGCGTGCGACATCGACATCCCGCCGCTCTGAGCTGGATGTGTCGCCACGCATTCAGTTGTCGCCTCCAGTGACTTTGTTGCGAATCGGTTGTCGCGTTTAGGACAGTGATCGTTATCTCCCGGCCGTACATACTTCTAGGTATGTCCATTTATTTGTTTTGTATGAACGACCGCTGTTAGTGTTGCGAACTGTTGACTTAGCGAGTTACCGGCCGCCGGCCGATCGGCGGCGGCCGAAAGTTCAATTAAATGTTGTTGATGAATTATCCTGTATTATATTATGATTATTGTATTTTTTCATGGTTTAAGTTAAAATATTCTAAGATGTGCCGTGCGGATGGACGCGAGAGTGGTGCGTGAGGTTCGCGTGAGAGACGATGTAGTGATCGAGGTAATTTGAATACCAAAAAAATTTGAACAATCTGTAAATATAGTGTTAAAAACTAGAGTCGAAGTTAGTCGGTAATGTAGGTAGATAGTTTATAAGTCGTGCCACGACGCCACACTCTTACGCCCGTCGTGCGTTGTACAAAATATTTGTTATATCGAATCGAAAGTTATAAAGCCTCGAAAGACTAAAATATTGTAATACGAAAATGTACAGTGAGTGTTATATAGTCAGTGGACACAAAGGTATATTGAAGAAAAAGATGAAGTTATCAATAAACGACGCGTTAAAATTGTATTTGCTGTTTTGTTCCATATTCCCATAATATTACCCCAATCTTCAAGCATAAATTGCAACATATATAAAACAAACAAGCTTACTTATTTGAAATTGTAGGTACATAAAAAAACATTTTTTATTGGAATGTACCCTCTGATTGTTTTGAACACAGTGCCTGAATAATTGATTCATATTATAGACGGAATTGTAAAAATTTAACTTAAATTCACTTTCTCGGTAATCTATGTTTATTTTACAAATATGATAAATATAATTTCATTCATATTTTCAGAAAGACTAAATATTCCGTTTCATTCTTTATTTACTTATTATTCTCATACTGTTTCATTATACATATTACAAAACATTTTTATAAACTCTTAATTTTATTGAACATATTAATTTCGTTAAGTTTTTATCATTCACATAGAAGCCGTAGAAAAGACTTCAACGCACTGCGTTTCATAAGATTTACCTGCCCAGATAGAAAATGCTTTGGCTAATAAATAATCTTCTTACTTAAAACGCAATTATGATTACATAAAAATATAGCCCTATTGTATCTTTGGCTTGAAAGTAAATTAACGGGCCTAATAATATATTCACCGAGTATTTTTAGTAATATAATATACCTTGGAGCTACTTAAATTTTAGGAAGGGTGAACTTAGCACAGAAAATAAGTTAATATATTTGCTAAAGACAATCAAATTAAAATCGGTATTTTTTGCTATTGCTTATTTGAATTATTTAATTACATATAATATTTAGGTCCTTTACTTTAAGTTATAAATTTTAAAGTTAGTAGCTCTTGAAAAAATACATATTCGGCTGTAAAATTGTTGCCTTCAACTGCTTAATATTATTAGGAAAAGCTAAAGTTAAGGCTGGTAAATCAGTTTTAGCAAGGAAGCACAGATTTATTTTAAATCTATTGCTTTTTTTGCTAAATTGATATAAAATGAAAGGTGATACCTTTCAAAAAGCAAAAGTCTAATCTAATAATTTTTTTGTGTTATTTGATGAATATTTTTACTGCCGTAAGTTATTTTATTGCCTATACTATTAATAATTGTTTTTTTTTATTGGGATACCTAGCAACTTGTAAGTTCTTTTGTTCACTGGGATTGCCTGTTGAAACAACGCGTCCTAAGCAAAAATGTTCCCGAAACCGATCTTTTAAAAGTTATGATTTTATACTCAGATATAAATCTCAGGTTTCAAAATGTAATGCAAAAGTTTTACATTGTACAACAATACAATCTTATTTGATAAATACTTCGAAAAATAAAATCTCTCCATTGCGCCAATAAAACTAAAGTAAGTAAGTTGTAAGTTAAGTAGGTTTTTATTCTCCTACAAATATAAACTAAATCAGTGTGGTTGATAATATTTTTATTGGTATAATAAGCCTAGACTACAAAATTATGTTTTTCTTAAGTAACAAATAGCTGCAGAATATTGAGTTACCCGATTAACTGTAATAGCTAATTCAGACAACGATTTAGGTAATATTTCAGCGAAAAGAGATTTTTTTTGAAAATGTCTCCTTATGCAGGTATAAAACCTTATCAATTTTAATTGCCATATATTGATTCAAATATATCTACTTGTACGATCTACGTACTTTAAACGTAAAATAATTCCATAATAGGTATGTAATTTACAAATTTGCGCCGCTTTAGGATATTTTGTAAACGATATAAATCAATATGTTTGTATGCGGACGTAGTGCATTTGCTATTTATAACTGTACGCACTATTTTTATTTACAAGATTTTTTAGTTATTCGAGTCACTCCAAATTCACGGTGTATTGCTCAGTCTTTACAATTTAGTTAAATAAATTGTTTCTTGCACTAAGGAACAGTTTAATGCCACTGATTGCTTTCCATATTAATAATATAGTGATACTCGTACATAATGAAGGTGAAATAGCATTCTTTTCTCTCTTTCTTGACTCCGTACGATCTAAGTTTGAATCCTGATACTGGTAGGTTTTTATTTGTTACGTTGAATACTATCAAGGTTTTTAATACATTCCTCATAGCATAATACATTATGACTACACAGTTTTTTTTTTTCAAATTTTGATAAATAAAACTTTATTAACAATTTAAGATAAACTATTTTAGTAGCGCACTTAATGACTACTTTATGAAATTATATTGTATTCGGTTACATAAATGCATTGTGGGATATGTTAGGTTCTTTTGCCATTTTCGGTCTTACAAAAGCTTCCTTTTCTCTTCCTCGCCTTCAACACTTAAAGTCGAATGGGAAAAAACTACTTTTTCAATCAATTACTGCCAACGCGAAGGGGTGAGGATTTAATCAAATCCCTCCGATGTTGATGGAGTTCGGCCACTTTTTCGTCCCTCGGGACCAAACGGCTTAATCCCGAATACGCCCCGATGTTTAACGAAATTAATCTAAACACTATTTTCGCACTGTGGGGCGTCGCCGGTGATAAGTTGCATATGTCGAAAATCACCGCGAGGACTTTTTTTAGAAAATTTTCTCTTATTTTGCAGATTCACTTTCTATGGTATTATTTGGTGGAATTTTATAGTGATTATACCTCGGTTTCTTTTATTCCTCCCTTGCGGAGGAGGTGGGTAAAAAATCCTTATGGTTACTCCACTGTCGGCTGCAGGGTTATGTCAGAGTTTCACCAACTGAAGAACACCCACCGGGAAGGCCTTTAAGTGTTCATCAGATGCGATCATCCCCTGAAAACGGGACGATGCAGCGCTGCCTAGTTAAAAAACTAGTGCTTAAGCGCTTCTTTGGCGATTGGAGCACGCCCGTATCAAATCATGATACATTAATATTTAGTAGATACCTGGATTTTCTGATCAAGTGTATATTTTGAAATACCTGCAGATATTCCTTATCATATCTGCAGTTAGCAATAACGTTAGTTATAAAATATTGGCCAAGTACGAGTCGGACACGCACACGAAGGGTTCTGTACCATTAACTATACAACATTAGACACTATATTACAATATCGAGTAAAAAATGGCAAGAAAAATCACGTCTATTATATGGGAGCCCCCCTTAAATAATTATTTATTTTTACTTTAAGTATTTGTTATTTTAATTGTTGTTGTAGTGGCAACAGAAATATCTACATCATCTGTGAAAATTTCAACTATCCAGCTATCACGGTTCATAAGATACAGCCTGGTAACAGACAGACGGACATTGTAGTCTTAGTAATAGGGTCCTATTTTCACCCTTTTGTTACGGGACCTTAAAAAATTATGTATTACCAAAAACTCATTGCTTGCCTAACTTTTTAAAAAATTACAACAATACAATACCACAATAATAAAATAAGTAAAAATAATAAAGCAATAAAATCAAATAACTAAATATAAATGTATTTGCATTAATTGTTTTCTCTAGGACGTATAATTTCGCTTAATGTTGTTTACAAAATAATTTTCAATCGACTATCTACATTGGTTGCAACGTGCCTGGCCAACCTGTTACTACAAAAAAAAAACTCAATACCTACAATTACAAAATCCTAATCCTAACTAATATTATAAATGCGAAAGTGAGTTTACAAGATCAAAGATTGTTACTCAATCACGCAAAAACTACTAGACGGATTTGTAGTATATGAACTGGATTGAGACATAGGTCACTTTTTATCCCAGAAAATGTTAAGTTCCTGTGCGATTCTCAAAAAAAAACAAAGTTAACGCAGACGAAGTCGCAGGCGACTGCTAGTACAGAAATATTTATGAAACAAGAAAATATATACGGTTATACCACAAAAAATTAGTGATTTATAGAAGTTTCAGCAAATTTAGTATGTTTTTTTTCTTAGACATGTCTTGAACGTCTATTTTTGTGGTAACACCAATATTTTTTAGATTTTATGATATAGAATGAACTGAGGAGCTTGCGAAGGAAACTGTATAATAACATAAAATTAAATTAAACTATTATTAAAAAAATTGAATGACACACCTACAGTCAACTTTTGGTATGGTTTTTAATTTTGTAATTTTAACTCTGTTTTAGGCGGTTTTGGTTGAAAATAAATAAATTCAGCGGGCCCTAAAAAGTCTAGATTGTAAAAAAAGTGAAAATTATTTTGACCAGATGCGTAATTACAACGTTTTGTTCGCCAGCTCCTCAACTTGTAGATATGTTGATTTTATTCACTATTGAATTTTGTTTCTACAATAAACCTAAGCCCCTCTGTGATAATAATTAAACAAATACACATTACATATAGATAATGATTATTTCCATAGGCAATTACTGAATGTATCTACTTTAATGGGTTTCTAGGTAAATAAGTTACGATTTAACTGGCACACCACAATGAATAATAACGTTTGAGTATGTGAAAGTTTTTCAGTGTAGTTTTACTAACATTGTTAACGCGATATTTAGTATTTATGAATTTGTTTGTATGTGATTCAAGTGTATCAAATAGGCTGAGTAAATATAGGTGATTGGATTATAACTTATACTGTTGACATAATTTCATGAAATGTATGCTGTGTGGGGTGGCAGTATAAAAGGTTGCATTTAATATGAGTAACTTAGAGAACTTAAATGCTGGTAAGATTTACTAGGAATAACAAATTCTGAAATTCAAACATCCTACATTATTAGATATAAAATTTCTTATATTATAATTAGAAAAACTTGTAAACAGGATGAGAAATGCTTGAAAACTTGAATCTTCATTTACAGGAACTAACTATCTCGTTTTTATAGTAAAAGTAAGTACATCATTAAAACTTTTTTCGGAATAGTTATATTTTTTGTTTTTTTATAATTTAACTGCCAGATGTTTAAAATCTAAAGAAATTGAAATCTACAGAAGGGCCGTGGTAGCATAATGGTCATTGCATTAACTCAGATAGCGAAGGGTGCGAGTTCGAGTCCTGTCTGCTGCCTGGTTCGTCTGGAAAGTTTTCTAGTAAATTTTCTTTAGATTGTTTCGGAATAATTAGAATTGAAGTCACGGCTATGGGTTTAACGTCCAA